TCAACAACAACAAAATGGAACATGAGCAGAAAATTCACAGTAAAGAAAAATAAATGGCAAACAATTTTGTTCACACACAAAAGTGTTAGAAATATTTTGTTTTTGTTTGCCAACTCTGCACTGTGTGATGAACACAACTGCAGCCATCTTTCCCACAGAAACAAGAATGTGGCCGTCTTTTCCAGAATCATGGAACAGACTAAGTTCATGAACCAAGGTACCACTGGATAACCTCTTTAGTAATAAATATAAATTAAAGTCATAATGATGCCTTTTACTACTACCAAACTGGGAAAGATTTAAAAAATTAACTATACTAATCATGGGGAAATAGACATTCCAAAAAAACTTGCTGATGAGGATGCAAACTGGCAAGCTACACATGAAGGAAATTTAGCATTACCTATCAATGTTATAAAAAGATACATCATTTGACCCAATTCTATTTCTCAGAGCTTATATTACAAAATATGTTCACTATATTTGACAAGATACTTGATTGTGATTGATTAGTCACTGAAGGATTATTTATACAGCAAAAGACTGAAAAGATAAATGTGTACCAATAGGGAAATAGTTATAAGTTATGATACATTCATACAATTAATATTATACAGTTAAAATGACTAGACAACTCCTACGAAATTACTTCCAAGACACAGAATTTTTAAAAAGTGAGACAAATGCAAGGATGTCCACTTTCACCAATGCTTTTCAATATAGCTTTGGAAACACTAGCCAGAGCAATTAGACAAGAGAGAGAAACAAAAGGCATAAGGACAGGAAAGGAAGAAGTGAAATCATCCTTATTTGCAGATGACATGATACTCTACATAGAAGACCACAAAAACTACACCAAAAGACTTCTAGATTTAATAACCGAATTCAGTAATGTAGCTGCATACAAAGTCAACATTCAAAAATCTATAGCATTCCTGTACACAAACAACAAACTCACTGACAGAAATTAGGGGAACAACACCTTTCATAATAGCATCCAAAAAAATGAAATACTTAGGAATCAACCTAACAAAGGAAATAAATGATCTATACACTGAAAATTACAGTACTCTGAAAAAAAAGATTGAAGAGGATTTCAGAAAATGGAAAGATTCCTTGCTCATGGGGTAGGAAGAACCAACACTGTGAAAATAGCTCCCAAAACTGTTTTATAGATTTAATGCAATCCTGATCAAAATATCATTAGTACACCTCACAGATGTACAGAAAACATTCTTAAAATGCATCTGGAACCAGAAGAGACCTAGAATGGCAAAGGCATTTCTGGGTAACAAAAGCAAGTCAGGGGGCTCCAAAATATCTGACTTGAAATTATACTACAAAGCTCCTGTGAGAAAATCAGCATGATACTGGAAAAAAAAAGACCTGAGGATCAGTGGAACAGATTACAAGATGTAGACACAACTGTAAACACAGCCACCTTACTATGACTAAGGGGCCAAACATGGTCACTGGAAGAAAGATAGCCTCTTTAATAAATGGTGCTGGAAAAATTGGCTCTCTACATGCCAAAGACTAAAACTAGACCCTATCTAGATCTATCACCATGCACTAAAATCAAAGCGGATCAAATACCTACATATTAAAACAAAAACACTAAATCTACCAGAAGAGAAAGTAGGTAGAAATCTTGAAGACACAAGGGTAAGCAGAGAGTTCATGAACAAAAACCAAACTGCATGGGAAATACTTCAAAGAATCAACAACTGAGATCTCATCTTCTTAAAAAGTTTTTGCACAACAAAAGAAATCACCAACCAGAGTGAAAAGAAAACCCACAAAGTGGGAAAAAATTATAGCCAACTGTCTCCCAGACAAAGGACTTCTACCTACAACATATAAAGAATTAAAAAAAAAAAAAGGTTCCCAAAATTCAGACACAATCCAAAAATGGGTATCTGAGATTAATACACACTTATCAACTGAAGAAATACAAATGGCAAATAACTATATGAAAAAATGTTCAACATCACTGGTCATCCAAGAAAAGCAAGTTAAAACAACACTGAGATTCCATCTCATCCCAGAAAGAATGGCTATCACCAAGAAATCAACCAGTAACAAATGCTGGTGGGGTTGTAGCGAAAAAGGAAACATTTACCACTGTTGGAGGGAATGTAGACTGGTGTAACCACTGTGGAAATCAGTGTGGAGATTCCTTTAAAAAGTAGGATTAGAGGTCCCATTTGAACCAGCTATTCCCCTTCTGGGTATTTTTCCAGAAGAATTGAAAACATCACATCACAGCGATATATGTACACCCATCTGTACAGTAGCATAATTTGTAATAGCTAAATCTTGGAAACAACCCAAATGCCCATCAATCAAGGAATGGATAAAAAAAGATGTGGTATTTTTATACAATGGAGTACTACTCAGCTATAAGGAAAGATAAACTCACTTTTATAGGTAAATGGATGCAACTAGAGAATGTATTCATAAGTGAAACAAATCAGATTCACACGTGTAAACATTGCATTGAGTCCATAGTATAAGAACCTAAAAGAGTAAATAAGATCCAAAATGCACAATAGATATTGTGAAAGGAAAAGGAACTGTTCCAAAGGAAAGAGCAACTGGGAACTGGGATGGCAGAAAGGAGAAAAGAAGGAAGGGCAAAGAAAAAAAAAATTTTATATATATATATATATATATGATACCTAAGATAATTTACTACTAATTTCTATTAGTTTATTTGAAGGAACAGTCAGTGCTCATATTGTTTGACCAACTTTGCATGCCTATATCTGGTAATCTGAGAAACTACTTTGAAGATAACAATATGCTATATAATAACCATTATTCATTTCTTATCATCTTCTTTTGAAATTCTGTATCGTTTTTATTGGGTTTTTTTTGCTTTTCTCTCTTTAAAAAAATAATAAATAGATAAAATAAAGCAAGATGCAAAACAGGATGTAAAGTACATTACTACTTATACAAAAATCGAGTAGCATGTACACAAAAAACAAATCTATATATTTATAAATGCACAGATCATCACAACTGGCTAAAAGGCAGAGTGGGAAGATGAATTACTTTTCACTATATAACCTTTAGTTTTAATTGCTTACCACGAATATCTTATCTACTCACAGAGTTAATAAATTATTATTTTAAATAATTAATTTTTTAAAAAGCAATTATTACATTGCTCTCAGTTCATCATGAAATGTTTAAGGGCACAGAATATGTGCCCCGTTTATCTTCATATCACCACCATGGTACACAATGCTCAAACAAGCAGGCTAAATAAAAGCTACTATGGCAAAGTTCCTAGACATTCAATTAATTTATAGGAATAAGAATATATTTAACCTGGCTAGTACAAGGTCCTGAGTTCAAGTCCTGATTCCCAAAAAAAAAAAGAATATATTAAACAACTGGAAATTTATAAATTCACCAAAAACTTTCCACATTTTAGCTTTTATGTTGGGTATCCCATAATCTAAAGCTTGGATTCTATCAAATTGTGTCAAAAAGTAATATTTGGAAGATTGAACTCTATTTGCTTTCCAGACATACCTTCCAAAGCCACTCACTTCATTATTCTTACTAACCATGAAGAACGATTGCTTCAGGGTCATTCTGGGCTGAAACCATCCCTCTAACACTTTCAAGCTACGTAACCCTGGAAAAGTGATTTAATCTTTGGGCTTCTATTCCACATGAAAATGCATATAATAGTGTCTGTATTTCATAGAACTGTTGTGAAGCTTAAATAAATACAATATATGCACTAAGCCTAGGATACTGTCTAGCACATAGTAAGCATTTTATAAATTTTAACTACTAATATTTGACAGCTTCTCAGGGTCTTATTATAATTATCTCTGAGCCACTTTTTTCCCTTTCAAAAATGGTGACATTAAGGAGAAAGATGGCAGGTATGGTGGCACATGCCTGTAGTTCCAACACTTAAGAGGCTGAGGCAGAAAGGATCACTGAGAGTTTAAGACCAGCCTGACTACTGAGGCAAGGGACTAAATGGCAGAGGCCAGGCTGACCTATATTGCAAGACCCTGTCTCAAAAAAAAAGGAGGAAGACACTCAGAAAAATAATGTTAACTATCTGTTTTTACATTTCATTAAGTGCCACTTGAGGAAATAACAATTAATACCATGCCCTACAGCCAGATGATACAAGATAGAAAGTTGAGGATTTAGGCAAAATCTGCCTTTCAGTCCCCTGACTCAGTAGGAAGCAAAGCAATAATGCTACTAGGCTATCATACAGTCATTCAGTTTAACAAGGTACTAGCAAGTATCAGTGGGGAAAAAGACATTAATTTCATTTGCTATAAAACCAGTTGAGAGAACAGATTTCATGCCTTTATGTTTCCACATGTCCAAACTACATAAAACAATATAAATTTATACTATTTTATATTATTACATATATAATGCAAATCTAAAATTCTACTATACAATCTCAGTACTGATAATCCTGTAACCCCTGATTACAAAAAGCATGTAGGAGGACAGAATGTAACTTAAAGAACAAAAAGAACTACACACACACACAGAATACACCTTAATTAAAGTTCACTAATTCAAACAGTGGACTCTGTTCTAAAAAAGCAGTGAAAGCATACTAGAAAAAGCCTTGGTTCTGGAACCAAACTCCTTGGGTTTAAATCCTTGCTATAGCATGTACTAGCTCTCTGACCTTAGGCTAATAATATAACCTATCATTGATGCCTTCACTTTCTTCTCTATACAGTAAGCATAATAACAATAGCTTCCTCCTAGGGTTGCTGTGGGGTTTAAGCTTGTTCCTGAATGTCAGTGTTCAATAAATGTTAAGTATTATTATAACAGTCTTATTTTTTCTTCAAGACTGTCAGGGCAAAGAAGCAGAGATGGTAAGTTTTTACAAACTCTGTATAACTCTGTAAGTCTTTAGGGACCTAAGCATGTTTCTTGATCAAAATTTTAAGCAATGATAAATAAAATAACAATTAAAATGAAATACTTACTTTGTAGCAGCAGCAGCAAAATGTCTGCTAGGTACATTAATGTTTACAGAACAAGGATAAAGAGATGTCTGATGAATCATCTTGGAAAGGCTATGTCTTCGATTATGTGTCAAGACTTGAAAGGAAAAACATAAAATAATCATTATATTCATAAATTTTACATTCTAAAAATCAGTATTTAAAAAACATCCAATGTTTTGTGATTCTTTTTGTGTGTGCAATTCTCAAACATTCTTTAAAATATGTAATGGAAACCAAACTTCTAGAAACTAGGCAAACACATATGCTATTTGAACAATGTCTTATCTTCATTTATTTTTAACTTAATCTAGCTCAGAGTCAACAGAGTATGTTAGCTCTATTATTAAGGAATATGTGTACATACCCCTGAAATGTTTAATAATTTACATTTTATTTATTCATTTCTTAACAGATCACACTTTCAGAGTTGTGCAAGTATTTGTGAAGATGAGAAGAAAGTGGGGACTTGCCCTTTCCCAACACTTGTAATGTTATCATAATTGAGACATTTTGGTAGTAGCAGAAATATAGACAAAGCAACAAATGGCTGAGCAATACACCCGTGCACACATGGACAAAGATGAAATAAGACAAAAGATATTACTGCAAATCACCATGCAGAATGAATAAGCCATGCTGACATAAACGCTTATCCATAGGGAAAAGAGTATGATTGGATCTTGCCACCATTATTGATCCCATATCACATGCACACAAAACTCAAATATAGGAAGATTAAAGACTTACATGTGAATGGTAAAACTGAAAGACTTTCAGCACATTTGGAAAATATCTTCATAATCTTTGGGATAGGAATGATTTCACAAACGAGAAAAAAAGCACTAACCACAACGTGACTACATTAGAGTAAAAAAGTTCCCTTTATCAAATATACTTTAAAGAAAAAAAAGGTAAGTCAAAAACTGGTAGGATATGTTGTAACATGCACAAATGACAAAAGATTAGTATGTTTAATATCAACCTAATTGAAAAATGAACACAAGATATAAAGAGGCTTTCTAAATGAAAAGATGTACAACCTCTTAGTAACTAGATAAATATAAATTTCAAACAAAATATCTTACATCAATGCTACTTAAGTGGGGATCAGTAGTAGGTCGGTTACAGTCTGCAATCAAATTAAGATTACACCAGTGTGCAAAACAAGCATGTTAAGAGAGGGCAATTATCTATGTGGAAAAGAGTATAAATTGGAAACCATTTTTGAAAACATTACCCAGTAAAGCTGAACATCTACATCGCAATGATGCAGCAATTCTATTTCCAGGCACTTACACACTTTACACGCATGTACTAAGAGATGTGCACAAGAATGATTGTAGTATTGTCATAGCAAAACTAAGGAGAAGAAATCAAACGCTCATCTACAATAGATTAGATAAATACTTTGTAGTGTGTTTCTATAGTAGAAAGCTATGGGACTGTAAAAATAAATGCTACAATTTAAGTGATTTTCACAAACATAATGTTGAGCAAATAAAAAAAAGTGACAGAAACACTAATTAGAATCCCCAGTTGTGACAACTGGAAATTATAATTTCAAGAGAAATACACTAAACTGCTACAGACTAAGAGAAGCCAAATTACAAAAACACAAACATTTAAGGAGCACTATTGGACCATGATTCCTGTATTTTCAATCCCTGTGTGTGTAGTCAATGTGCCTACCTTAGTATACTCATTCATTCTTAGCAAATAACCTCGCTTGCTACTTCAGAGAAAATGTGCTCAAAACTTCCTCCACTACTTATGAACCTACCTGAATCTGCATTCATCTCTGAAGTACCCCCATCTCCACCCTGGGATAAGGAGATGGGAACTACTCCAGATTCTTTGTTACTTTATTCTTTTAGTTGATACAGAGTTTAGCATTCCCCAGGCATCACTCCTAAACTGCCTTCTCAATTGACTCTAACCTTCACTTTCTCTAGATCTTATCCATTTGGTCACTGTCTTCTACAACCACCAGACTAGGTATCCATAATTTACCACCTGGATTATGGCAACAGTTTCAAACTGTTCTGTCTTCTGCTTTTGGTCCTCTCTATTTCTTTTCTGTCTACAACTAGTAAGAGAGATCACTTTTAACACATTCACAAAGAGGCTATAATTTGTATATCTCACTCCCAGGTGGCTCTGAACCACTGGTGCTACATGCTTATTATAATTGTTCCATCAGGCAACATGGATGGTCATGCATCTACCACAGGTGGTATAAGCCATCCAATGGACTTTGTCACGTCCTTACATCCCTTGGATGGCTTAACCTGGCTTGTTGAGAAAAGTGAGTTCTTGTTAAAGTACTCCATGAGCTACTTCTAACCTATCTAGTGAGTTTCTCTAACACCATTCTCCCTCATGCTCACCATGCTTCATATGTACTTACTTCCTTTCAGTTACCTGAACACATTCTATCACCACCTTACAATTTTCGTATATAAACTTCCTCCTATCTGTGACATCCTCCCTTCACATGGCGAATTCCCAGTAATCCAGCCATCTTTCAGGGACTCTACTTAAAACATTACTTCTTCAGAACAGTCTTCCCTGAAGACTCACAGTAGATTAGGTCTCTCATACAGTCTTACACCACCCCCTACTTTTGTTTCTCAGCACTTAGGACATTCATAACAGAAGAAAGAATTCTCTGATCAATGTCTGCTCCTCAATAGGTGTTAAAAACCACAGGCAGGACATTCAGATGATTTATTCACCATTGTATTCCTAACACCTAGCTCAGTGTTTGGCAAATGGAGACCCAGTAAATGTCAGTTGAAAGATAAATTACAGTAAAAACTGGACTCAAATTGCTTTAAACATTATCCACCATAACACAGGGAAGCGGGGCAGCTTGTGAGTGTATCTCTGACTGTATGCATGCATGTGTGTATTCTTGGATAAAGTTTAATTGGGACATGACTAGCTCTTTTCTTTACATTATTATCCATAGCTACTTTTATGCTACAATGGTAGAGTTCAGTAGGTGCAACATCTGTCCATCAACAGATGAATGGGTAAAGAAAGTGTGCTACAGTATTTATATGTAATTGAGTACTACTCTGCCATAAAGAATAAATTTGAGTCAATTGTAGGCAAATGGTTGCACCTTGAATCCATATGTTAAGTGAAATAAATTAGACATGCAAGCATGGTTTCTCTTATATGAGAAACTCAAAATATAAATAAAGAGCAAAATAAAAGATACATAATAGGAAACAGGGAGATGGAGATCTTTTGCAAAGGGAAAAGGGACCAAGAGATAGAGGAAAGGGGAAGGGAGAGGAAAGGAAGGAGATTAAAAGAGAATTAGGATGTGTTATTCACATGTACCAACTCTCTATAAGGAATACGATCATTATGTACAGCAAACATATACTAATAAAAAATTCAAAAAAATAGAGAACTATGGCTTGTAACCCCTAAGGTATTTACTATTGAGCTCTTTACAGAATGTATTTTCTGGTCCCTGCTATAAACATTTCTCTGTTTATTTGTTTGGTTTTTTTAACCAGGATTAGGAGTAGGTAGAGCTAATACTGAGCAGAGCACTAAGGAAGGCACCTACAAACAAGGTACACAAAGTCATTGCAGAAATTCAGTCCATAACACTGTGATACTGTCCAGAGAACAAAAGAACAACCAGCAATAGAGTCCACCCAAATTCCCACACGCTTATCAAAATATGACTGGCTGGATGTGGTGGTGTATGCCTCGAGTCCCAGCACTTAAGAGGCTCAGGCAAGAGGATCAAGAGTTTAAGGCAATCCTGGGACACACAGGTTGGTTCAAGACCAACCTGAACTACATAGCAAGACCCTGACTTAAAAAAACAAAAAAATACAAATGTTTTTGAGTCTTCAAAATGGGTATGTGTAAAATTACACAATTTTTTGGTCGTGTCTTTGTATAGGTATCTCATGCAATTGTATTTCTAAGTATTCAATTCATACAATGATCAAAGGTGTCCTAAAATAGAACTGATTGAAAGTTAAGCACAAAAAGATATATTAGCAGAGACAAGATTTTTACAAGACAGCACAAATCTTGCTAGATAAACTATAAGGGGTGTTATCACTTATGTCTAGATGTTCCCTCCAAAGCCTCATGCGGTCATAGGTGGGTTTTTCAGAGGTGGCTGGGTCTAGAGTGTGTGATGCTGGGATTAAGTGAATGATATTGCGATCAAGGGTGTGCCATTACTAAATTAGTACACTGATTGGTTTGGCATAGTTCTGGGTGTGGATAAAGAGAAGGCCCTCCCTGGATGTGAATACTACCTGTCCTAAAGGTGTGTAACCTGGATAGCGTATAGAAGACAGAAAGAGGGCTGCTGTTGTTACTTGATACTTGCTACTTTGCTACTGTGCTGCTTTCCTGCTGTTTGCAGGCCAAGAACTATTTCCCCTCTACCATGCCATTCTGCCTTGGAGCCAGCCAAATATGGACTGAACCTTCTACAAACTGTGAGCCAAAATAAACCTTTCTTCCTTTAACTGTAGGTGTTGGGTATTTTGTGTCACCAATGAGAAAAGTAGCTAAAACAAGGCATGAGGTGCAAGATACAGCAAAGCTATTCTCACTGGAGGGTGGGGACATTTTTTGATGATCCATTACTCATTCATTCAATAATGAATGTGCCAACAAAAATATAAGGGCTGATCAAAAAATATGTTTAAATTTTTAAAAATTTATTACAGTAAAAGATACAATGCCATTAATCTCCCTCAATATACTCCCCTTTCTTCAAACTCACTTATCCCATCATTCTTGCTGCTCTCTAAAGCAGTTCTGGAAGTCCTCTTTCATGAGTGTCTTTACAAGGTATGACCAGTACCACAGTGAATGTGGCTGCCAAGTGCTTTCTAACATAAAGGCTCATAAGAACATTACAGTGTGTCCTCATCCACCTAATTCACCAAATCCAGCACCATGCCACTTCTGGCTCCACCCCAAAGTCAAAAAACCATGAAAGATAAATGTTTTTAATTTTATTCAGGACATGGAAACCGCCACAACAGCACAACTAAAGACACAAAAGAGGACATCTAGAATTGCTTCATAAAATGATGAGAA